CCCCAAGGGGCCTGTCCGCGGGGTGCCACAGGCCCTGTTCCCCACAGCCGAGAGGGCCACGACCCGCTCCCCAGGAAGGAGCCGCTGGCAGGCTCTGCGTGTCTTCAGAAGGCGTTCCCCAGGCGGCTCCGACCCGGCTGAACCCTGGACACAGCGGCTCGTGAAGTTAGCCCTCACCGAGGACCAGAGTGCCCTGACTGCTCCTGGAGAAAGACTCCAGTGCCCGGGGTCACAGACCCACGACAGTGTAGAGCCGGCGAGGAGAATGGGAGGCTCCAGTCAGTGGAGACAGTGGTGCAGTGACCAGAGCGCTGGAGGCTGCTTGAAAACAGCATAAATATACTCAGCCACACAGCTGAAATTGGTTAGATTAGTAAATTTTACATTAGATCTATTTTACCACTTTTTTTTTTAGTGAGCCCACGACGGCTCCCCCTGGTGGTGCAGTGGGGTAAAAGCGCAGCACTCCCGCAGCCCCTGTGGGCACGTTCTGTCCCAGCAAGGAGCTGACCCCGGGGCCCCACAGACCTCTCCCGTCTCCCCACTGCTCCCCTCAGCATTGTGTCTCAGACTATCTACTACGCACCCTGTCTCTGGAGAATCCTCTCACACCCCACACACCGCTGGTTCGTACCCCAGTTCTTGTATGCAGAAATACATACATCTTTAAAAAGAAATGAGCCCATGATGACAGAACCAGCTAGACACAGTTGCCGGGTGCAGCAAGCGCCAAGTCTTATGGATAAATCACCCCGTCTAGGAGAATGAAGTCTGAGCCCTCACCACAAGGTCTGTAAGTACAACCGGCAGTGCTTCACTTGATTCAGAAACAAGACTTAAAATTCCTGATCTTCCTCCGAGCCTTGGCACCCGCGCCTGGCTCACACACCGCACCCCCAGCGGACCCTCAGGGTGGCCTGTGCACCCGCGTCCCTAGCCGGCTGCACCCCTGCGCCCGCGCACCCCAGGCTCCAGCGGAGATGGGCGGGCCTTGCCATCTGCGGGGTGGGGGGGTCCCCCAACACTTACTGGGCTGCAGGGGCAGGTCACAGGCCGCCTCGTCCGAGGGAGTCGGAGACTGAGCTGGGGCAGGAGCTGACTGAGAGCAGAGTGGAGCCGGAGCGCGGCAAACGCGCACCCTTATCCCGGGTGGGTGGGTGCCCGCAGGGTGCGCCCGGTGGGTGGGGTCTGTCTGGGTGGGCGTTGCCGGATTAGCTGGGCCGCGTTGGATCCTCTCACCTGGGCTGCTGGGGCCCCTGGACTGGCCCGAGCACCCGCCTGGGCACGCTCGGCCGCTGCATCTTCCTCCGTAGTCCCGGAGGGTCGAGGCCTCCCCTCCCTCTCCCGGAGCGTGAGGTCAACCCCGCGAGGCCAGCGGCCGCGGACCGTGCGCGGGTGGGGGCGGGGAGGGAAAAGACGGGGAGCAGCGCGCCCCTTGCAAAGTGCTCGGTCTGCAGGATCAGACCGGCAGGGGCAGGGAGGCCCCCTGCTCCCGGCCAGGCCTCCCCAGAGCCGCTCAGCTCCGTGGGTGTGGGAGGAGCGGGAGACACGGGGCCTCTGGCCAGAGGCACAGCTCCGAGGCTCGAGGCTCGCAGGCCCCCACTCTCCCCAAGATGCCCTGAGCCCCGCACACCAGCCCCGAGAGAGCGCCGCGGGGCGGGGTCCCCCGGCCCTGGCCCTGCCCCTCAGTGGGCCTGGCCCATGGCCAGACACGTGGCCCTGTGGGCTGGGCTCAGCGTGCTTGGGCCTCAGGATCCAGAACCAAGGCCCCCGGTGCCCCGTCTCAGTGCACAGGATCGGAGTCGCTCCCCTTCATTTTGTTTCTAGAAAAGGGTACTAAAGGGAGCTAAAGACCGCAGAACCCCGCGGCGTTTGCAAAGACCTGCCCCTGCTACACGTCCAGGGAGATGCAGGGCTGCAGTGGAGGCTGCAAACTGTGGGGTGAGAATATGGGAGGCCTCGGGCTGTCTGTGGGGCCACAAAGGTCAGGATCCAGCCGCTGCCATCCGGCCGGGGTCTGCAGCCTCAAGCAGTTCCCAGGACCCCGTTTTCTGGTCACCACCCTGACAGCCTCCGCTGCAGAGGGGAAAATTAAACTGTCTAGTGCTTGGAACACCCACGTGGTCGCCTGATACCTTAGTAAGTGGAATTGGCCAGCACATTCCCATCCTGCCAGGCCTTGCGCAAACACCTCCACTTTAAGAGCTGTTCCCGGGCCCTCCCTGGTGGCACAAAGTTAGGGCGCCACACTGCCAGCCCCGGAGGTGACCCACAGGGCGCGGCAGACCTCTCCTGTCTCCCCGCTGCTCCCCTCAGCAGTGCACTTTGCTGATCCGCCTGTTCTGCTCCCCACTCTGTCTCTCCTGAATCCTCTCACCCCTCACCTCTGGCCTGCACCCCAGTCTTGTATGCACAAATACAAAACTTAAATAAAGTTGTCCCCGGTATAGGACCAACACCGTATAAGCTCCTCTGGCTCCGGACACGCACTCAGCGTCCCCTGCGTGGTCGGCCACCCAGCACCCAAGGAGCACAGGAAACTGGAGTCTGTCTGGTCTCCGGCCACCTGCGGCACTGTTTTTCCTTGCCTGAACGGGGTTAGAGTGCCGTCGTCTCTTGTGCTCGCTTATTTACTAGGGCAGGAATTAGCCTGCGTGACTCAGCACCGGCCCTCAGCAGGGAGCCACGCTCCTGGGCTAAGGCCTGGTTTTCACCGGCTCCACTTCACGCAGCGCGGGCGGGAACCTCACCCCTTCCTACTGCAAGTGATGGTGATGGTTGTAATTCTTTTCTGTAACTTTTGTTGTAACTGACTCTTTTATTCCTTATGGTTAATATAGTTGCAACCATTGCACTCTGCCTTCCGATTGTCAACTAACTCAAGGCTCTGGGTACGTCTGTTTTTTCTGCCCATGTAGAATGTTCCATGTATCATGATTTCTTGTAAAGTAATCCAAGCAGTGGAATCTCTTTCTGGTTATTTTTCATTTATTTGATCTGGGAAAGCCTTTATTTCTCTGTATTTGATAATTCTGCAAGGTACAGTTGGGATCAGCAATTTCTACCCTTTATGATCTCGTCATTCCGCTCTCTCTCCATCTGCATTTTCTGCTCCATTACGTGTTCTATTGCATGCATACTTCTATCCCTTGGTGTGGGAAGTTCACCGCTGTTATTTTACATACTTTTGTTTACTCAGCTATTTTTTTTAAAAGATTGTTTATTTATGTACACAGAACTGGGGGACAGGCTGGAGGTGCAGGGGCAGTGAGAGGATCCACCAGAGGCAGAGTGGGGAGCAGAACAGGCTGACTGATGAAGTTCTGCTGAGGGGAGCAGCGGGCGGGAGAGGCCTGTGGCACCCTGTGGGTCACCTCCAGGGTGGGGATCGAACTCATGCTGCAGTGGCTTTAGCTTCTTAGTGCTGCGCTTTAACCTGCTGCGCCACCAGGGAGGGTCCGGTTTTCATTGTTTCACACTCACCGTCTTCACTGGAATTCTTCTGGCCCTTAATTTCCTTCCAGAGGCCACTGAGCTACCTTCTGAACTGTCTCCCAATCTGTAGAGTATCTTCACAACTATCTGACCTTTCCACACCTTTCTGTCTGTATGTTTGATAGCCTGCGGTCCATCTTTGTTTTCCTTCAACTCCGTGTTGCTGGGATTTTTAATCATTTAATTGTATTTCCGTGTCCGTACATTGAGTTACTCAATGTCCTGCTCCAGCAGGTGGCCCTGAATCTTTAGTTTCAGGTTTCTTGAATCTGTGTCAGAGCCTCAGCTGGAGTGGGGAAAGGGTGCGTAGAGCCAGCTCTGCTCTTCCAATTACAGCCCACAGCCATGCCTGGGTGTGGAGTTGGGGGCCCGAGGAGTCAGACACCCCATCACAGTGCCGGCCCTCCTCCTCCTGAGCCCAGGCGTGTCTTACCCTGTGTGAACAGACTACGCCAGAACCTGACCGGGCAGCAGACCTGGCTGATGTCATTTAGAGCAGATTCCTCATGCAGGAGGGGAAGGAGGGTGCCATGAGCCTTTCGTCCAGTGCTGTGAGGCTCACGGGAGCACAGGCCTGGGTCAGCCATGCCTCCTCTGCCTCCCTCCGCCCCCAGCCACACACGCAGCTAGCTCTCTCACCTTCGCCCAGCTCCAGTATTCCATTGACCAAATCCAACCCTACACACAGCATGAACAGCCAAAGAACCCTCGCTGGGTTTTGAGTCTTCTAGCGGTTGTATTTAAAACGAGGAGAAATGTTGGGAGCAACTGATCGCTCATGATCTGTCCTAATAAGTCTGGTCTGTATGTTTTAAAGCCTAAGAGGTAGAGAAAACAGTTTTTTCCTTCCTGGCAATAGCAACGACCTCAACAATGTGAAGCCTCCGCTGAATCACCTCCATCCCTCTGACAAATTGGTGTTTCCTCAGCAGTAGCACACAAACACACTTCTCATGCACAGATAATATTTATTTGTTCATTTGGGGGCGGCTTAGACTCTTGTAGTTTCTTGTAAAATTCACCTTGCTGCACGCTTTAGTATGTCCTTTCCTTTATTATATTATTTTTATTTATTAAGATATATTTAATTTACTTGCACATACATATTGGGGTGCAGGTCAGAGGGAAGGGTAAGAAGATTCATCGGAGACAGAGTAGGGAGCAGAACAGGCAGATCTACTGAAAAACACTGCTGAGGGGCGCAGCAGGGGACAGGAGAGGCCTGCCATGCCATGTGGGTCACTCCCCGGCCAGGCCAAGCTCATGACACTGTAGCTGGTGAGAGCTTCCTACACTGAGACGTTAGCCCCTACGCCACCAGGGAGGCCCTATGACTTTAAAAGCTTCCTCAAAAACCATACAACATTCAAACCACTTCATTCACTGGAAATAAAGACAGAGCTCTGTGTCCCACCTTACACTCTGCAGAGGCTCAAACGCCACCTCGAACCAGAAGATTCCTCCAGAACATGGAGGCCTTCCCCAAACACCGGCCTCTGCTTAGGCTATTCTGGCTTGAGGGTGTCTCTGTCAAGAGTTTGTGAGTCGGACTCGGGTCGTTGTGGAGCATTCTTGTTCTCTAAGCTGTGGCGGATCCCATATCCAAAGTATATGGCAAACCCTACAGGGAAATAAGACCAAGAATTGGAACACGGGGCCCTCTACAAACTAATAAAGACCAGGGGCTCTCATTTAGGCTGTTGGTGCATTTTGAGGAATGGTTGCAGTGATGGAACAGTGTTGAGTTCTATCACTCAAAAGTCACTTACCAATCACCATCCAGACGCCATATTGGGCCCAGGTCCCAGCCGTCATCTGCATCACCAGGTAAGCATTCACGAAGATGCTCATCAGTGGGATGACAGGCAAAGCAGGCACCTGGGGAGGAAGTCGGTGCAACAACATGTCAGTGGAAGATGTCCTCCCTGGGGGAAAGAGGGACCCCAATTCTGCCCACTCATACTAGGTATCCCATGAGGGCCTCGGGGTAAGAACTGGAAGGAGAGCTAGTAACTGCAGGTGGATCAAGGAAGGACCCATCGACTTGACCAAGGATCTTTTCTCACCTGGTGCAGCAAAGAACGTTTAGTCCTCAAGGCAGGAGAGCCCTCTCACCCGAGCGGACAGCTGGGGACAGAAGGTGACCTACCTTGAAATAAAGAGGAGTGGGGTCCTGGGGCTGTCTCCAAATGATGACGGTGATCCCGAAAATGAGCACCAGCAGCAGCCCGGTCACTGCTATCGTCGCTGGCTCTCCAGAGGACAGGTAACTGGACAGCTGGGACAGTATCAGGCACAAGGTTACCAGCAGGAGCGCTGAAAGGGTCAAGGTGGAGAACACGTCCAAATCCAGAAGCCCTGTGTCAAGTCTCGGCTCGGGTCCTACCCCAAACGGCCGGTGACGCTAAGGACGCCCAGATCACCAAGACTCTTCCTCAGCTGCCAGTCACCCACTCCCACCCCGTCCAGTCAGTTTCAGAAAAGCCCAGAGAGAGATCCCACACTCACCAAGCAGTAAGGCGCATCCATAGACGATCTGGCCAGACCTGGGCGTGGGCGCGGCGCTCACAGGCTTACAGAGACTCTGCAGGGCCTGGGAGGGTCCAGCCTCAGGCGCCGATTCCAAAGCCTGTCCCTCACCTTCAGGTTTCCTGTGGGTCATTTCCACCTCCACTTTCTCATTCTCCTTTTGGCCTGGTTGGTATCTGCATTAGAGGTGTTAAGGCAAGATTAAAACCAGCCCCAGTGGGCTTCCCTGGTTAAGTCTCAGCACTGTCACCTCCACGGCCTGAGTTTGATCCCTGGCCAGGGAGGGACCCAGATAACACAGAGGACTTCTCCTGTCTCGCCTGCTGTGGGACTCAGCAGTGGATTTCAGTCAGTTCACCTGTTCTGCTCCCCACTCTGTTGCCGGTGAGTCCCCTAAACCTCTGATCTATACCCCAGTTCTCCTATGCATAAATCTCAAAAAAAAAAACCAGCCGCACTGACCTGACATTAGACAGGCAAATCTACCTTTTTTCTACCCTGGCACAGCTGCACCACTTAGGAGAAGAGAATTAGCCCAGTCAGTGCCCATGGGCCCAACCCACCGGGAAGCAAGGTGTGCGCAGTCTCACCTGAGCACGAGAACAGAAAAGGCCACCAGGGAGTAAGCCAGCAGGGTCCCGATTGACATGAGATCCACAAGGTCGGTGAGCTCGAAGAAGAACGCCATGAGCGCTGAAACAGCGGCGGGAAGGTGAGGATGACCGGCCATTCGGCCCAGGGCACTGACCAGTAGCAGCGGGCTCTGGCTTGCTTACCCGCGAGAACTCCCGAGGCGATGGTGGCCGCAACCGGCGTGCGCGTGCGCTCGTGGACGCGGGCAAGGCCCCGGAAGACCAGCCCATCTTCCGCCATCGCGTAGATCACCCGAGGCATAGGGAACATGGAGCCCAGGAGGCTAGAGGAGACGGGGGAGTGTGTGAGGACGTGGGGTGCAGCCAGGGCGCCTCCCGGGGACCCCCGGTCTCCCTCTCACCTCGCCGCCCAAGGGCCCGAGGACACTGACCTGGACGAGAGCGCACAGAGCGTGCCGGCAGCCACCGCGAACCTGGCAGGGCCCCACCCGATCCTGAGGAAGGCCTGGGGCAGCGGGCTGGCAGGCTGAATCTCGTAGTAGGGCACCATCAGAGTGAGTGCCGCCGAGACCCCAAAATACGCCAAAAAGCAGATGAAGAGAGAGACGCCGATGCTCAGGGGGATGGACCGCTGAGGGTTTCGAGCCTCTTCTCCTGCGGGGCCGCAGAGGAAACATTAGCACGACGCCTGCCTCCCGCCCCCACAGCAGGCGACCGTCCAGCCTGCGGCCACTGCCGGGCGCCCAAAGCCCGAGGTGACACGGAGTGACTGTTACCTGTCGTGGCGATGCAGTCGAACCCGACAAAGGCGTAGAAACAGGTGGCCGCTCCTCGGAGAACCCCGTCAAAGCCAAAAGGAATAAACCCCCCGGAGCCCAGCGGGCCCAGGCTGTGGTGGGGAGGAAGCACGCGGGAGGGGCTCAGCCCTCTCATGGGCGCACCCTGAGCCCCCCAGCCCGGGCTCCCCCACCTGCTCCCCACCGCACCCCAGGCCGCACCCACGGCCACCAGCGCCCAGAGGCCGCTGACCTGGAGGTGCCGTTGCGCTCGCGGGCTGCGCTGTAGTCCTGCTCTGTGAGCCGCCAGTGGTGCAGCTGCCCCTTCATGCAGCCGGAGGTGACGACGAAGCCCAGAACCACGAGGTTCAGCCCCGTGAAGATTTTGGTGACCAGAGCGGATTCTCTGCCCCCCAGGACCAGTATTCCTGCGTGGGAGACGGAAGGTAAAATGTGTGAAATCAACCCTCTGGGAAACAAGGGTGGAGCAGGGCTGTCCCGCAAGCAGATTCCTCTGGGCAAAGAAGAAGCTACGGAAACTAGATGTAGTCGTGGCCATGTGCTAAGTGTTCCTGGTCAGCTTTTTTTTTTAAGATTTATTTATGTATTCACTCACTCATTCATTTAAGACCTGGGGTATAGGCCAGTTTGGGGGCAGGGGGTGGGGTTGAGGGAGACAGAGCAGACACAGAGCAGGGAGCAGAACAAGCGAATCCCCTAAACCCACTACTGAGGGAGCAGTGGGGAGATAGGAGAGGTCTGCCGTGCCCTGGGGGCCACTCTCTGGCTGGGATCTAACTCAGGACAAAGCAACAGTGATAGCACTGAGACGTAGCCCCTGGGCTGGTGAGTTTCTCATGTTTTATTACACTGACGTGTACATGCTTACGTAGTATAACATTTTGTACTTGGTAGTTTTCACGGTAGCACAATACATCAATACATGCATGTGTAAATCAGCACATGGTGCGCTTTCACCTTGAATGTCAGGATGCTTTAATTAAGATAGAGTCAAAGTCACGAAATGACTAAGCGGTTCACATTCGGTGAATTTTAATTAAATCAAAAAGCCTTTCTTTGGCCTCCGTCCAGAGGAAGACACTTGTCACTGTAATCAGTGGCTCTCAGCTGCATGGTTTGTCCCGCAAGAGGAGACTTTCTGATGGACACTATTTGGGGAGTGGGTGCCTCTGACATCTATTGAGTAGAGGCCAGCGATGAAGCTCAACATCCTACAATGATAGAAAAGAGGAAAATGAAAGTGTCCAACAGTGGCCAGTCTGTATCCCTCTGCTGCACGCACAGCAGCATCCAGCCCAGTGCGACACGCGACCGTCTGGTCTACCCCGCTGTCCCAGCTCAGACCCCTTCTCCGGTCTCCCACCCATGGTGGCCACCTCCAAGCCGCTCCCGCCCTCGTCCCGCACACCCCAAGCCCCCAGCCCAGCCCCCGCCTCACCAGTGAGCAGCAGCACCAGGCCCAGGGCAAAAAAGTCTGGGTACTTGGCCAGGGGGTGGGGTAAGTGCAGAGAGAGGCTTCCCTCCAGGGCCCTGGAGATGTGGTTTCCGATCAGGTGGTCAAAGGTGGCGCTCCAGGCCCTGGCCACACTGGCCGCACCTGCGGGCGGGAAGGGGTGTCCGTTACTGGGAAGAGGTGGGCGCCCCTGCACGCTAGGGAGAGCAGGTGGGACGCCGGGCCGGGGTTGTTCCGGCCTGAGTTGGGAAAACAGCTTGCAGATGATTCGCAAGACAGGTAAGCACAGGTGATACCTGTTATGCAACTGTGCAGCAGTCCCGTAGTAGGGTGGGAGTTTAAAGACATTGAAATTTCATCTTATTTTATTTTTAAAGATTTATTTTATTTATGTATGTATACAAGAGCTGGGGTGCAGACCAGAGGTGCAGGGGCAGTGAGAGGATGCACTAGACACCGAGGGGGGACGGAATAGGAGGATTTACTGAAATCCACTGCTGAGAGCGGCAGCAGGGAGATGGGGATGCCGTGCGGTGTAGGTCATTCCCTGGCCAGGGATTTAACTCAGGCCCTGTGGTGACCGCTGAGACCTAACCCCTAGGGCCCCAACAATGAAACAGTAAATCAGATAGTGGGGGAGTATCACAGTGGTGACACTGAGCAAAGGCTTCAGCGAATTGTCGCGATAAGTCTTGCAAAACATGCCCCCTCTTCACCCACAGACTCGTCCCCACAGCCCGCAGTTCCCTTCTTCCTCATTCTTGCTCCAGTCACAGGAGAAAGGCAGGACGGGGTGAGCAGCAGGAGCCGGTGTTTCCTGTGATCACCCACAGCCCTCGCAAGGCCGGCAACCCGAGCTCGGGACGGGGCGAGCCACTGCGGCTGCCCAGCCCCCTCCCAGGTCCCTGGCCTTGTGGAGCCCCCCGCCTCCCCCTTTGTTTCACCATCTCACCGATGACATAGGAGAGAATGAGGTTCCAGCCGGTGATGAAGGCGCACAGCTGCCCCACCGTCACGTAGCTGTACAGGTACGCAGAGCCGGAGCACGGCACCCGGGCCCCGAACTCCGCGTAGCAGAGCCCGGACAGCGCCGAAGACAGGGCGGCCAGCAAGAAGCAGAGGACGATGGCGGGGCCCGCCTTCTCCCTGGCCACCTCGCCGGCCAGGATGTACACCCCTGCCCCCAGGGTGCTGCCCACACCCAGGGCCACCAGGTCCAGGGTGCTCAGGCAGCGGGCCAAGCGACTCTCGGGGCCCTCTCTCGGCTCCAGGGGCCGCCTGCGGACCAGCTTCTGGCCAAACTGGTGAAGAGTCTGACACAGCATCTCATGGGCTTGAACAATCTAAGATCTGCTGAGAAAATGAGTAAGTCACCAAGATGCCTGTCCTCTCCGGGGGACAGAGCTGCGAAGCCAGAGTCCGGGGAGCTGTGGTGGGACGCGGGGGCAGCTCTCCAGCACCCAGGCGAGGTTCCTTCCAAAGCAGATGCTCAGTGTCTCAAACTTACTGCAAGGGTCGCTTGAAAAGAACTGATCTAAAGCTTCAAGTTCGTTTCTGCACTGGCAGCTGCTTCGCTGAGGTGCGTGAACACAAATGCTAATTTTTATTGATTTGCTATTTCACATTCCAGAGGACAGGAGTATCAGGGAAAGGAGAGAGACACCTGCAAAGTGTCCACAGGCAGGCAAGCTTAAGAATGCTGATTCTTAAAGCCAAATCCCCAGGCTTATTCCATTTGTGTCTTACTCCTTGGGGTACAGGGTGTCTCCTCATCACACCTCTCTGTGGACAAGGCTGAGAACAACACAAGCTATTCTGGGGGGGCTTCAGCCCCAGTGAGCCATAGCCCCAGTGAGCAAGGTTAGCATTTGGGTGGAGAGCAAGGGTCCAAACCAAACAGAAGTTCAAGAAAACGCCAAGACCGGCAGGCAGGCCAGAGCCCCGAGGCGCCCAGCAAGGAAAAAATTAACCAGTTAATTAAAGAAAAGAGCAGGTGTTCAAGAGGCAGCGAACTGCTCCCCCGACACCATCTGCAAACGCACGTTTACTCCCTGGGCCTCTCTGTTGTGTTAAGACGCTGCCCGAGTCCCGTGGCCCTTAGCAGGACAGTGAATTGTAAACGGCGCGGCTGCCGTGGGAAATGTGATGGCTCCTACCTACTCATCCTCGGAGACAACTGTGGGGACGACCCCAAGGAGCTAAAGAGGGGCCCCAAGGGGCCTGTCCGCGGGGTGCCACAGGCCCTGTTCCCCACAGCCGAGGGGGCCACGACCCGCTCCCCAGGAAGGAGCCGCTGGCAGGCTCTGCGTGTCTTCAGAAGGCGTTCCCCAGGCGGCTCCGACCCGGCTGAACCCTGGACACAGCGGCTCGTGAAGTTAGCCCTCACCGAGGACCAGAGTGCCCTGACTGCTCCTGGAGAAAGACTCCAGTGACCAGTCACAAAGGCAGAAGCGGAAGGAATTAGCCAGGGTTGGGGGAGATGGGAAAAAGCACCTCATGGAGAGTTTTGCAAATGAATGAGTTCTGGAGATGTGCTAACAAGTCCATAAACTTAACTTGACTGATGGCACATTTGAAAAATCATTAAAATGGTAAATTTTATGTTAATTTTTATGAAAAAGAAACAAAAAGATTATTTAATGAGAACTTGCAAACTCTAATCATTGCTCAGTGAATCCATTTCCACTGAGGCTGTTACTGACCAGACTGCAGTGCACCCCAGGGCCCCCAAACTTGCATGCTCTCCATGGGTTCAGCCACCCACCGCGTAAAGACAAAGCATACTCTCAGTGTCAAAGACCTTTAACAGAATGACTGCAGAGGGCAGAAGAGAAAGGATAGAAAGAAGCACCCACAGTTTCCGCACCCCCTGCTGAGTGAATGCCCAGCCAGACAGGGCTGGCCCAAAGCAGGATCCCCGTGGCCCAAAACCTTGCTATCAGTTCAAGGCGCCTTCTGGTGGGGATTCCCAGCAAAGGGGCAGAAGGGGTCAGGCAAGTCTGACACGGAAGGAGCAAACTTAGAGTCCATCTCAAGACAAAAGCTGCCATTGTCAGCCCCTCCAGTCTCTCTCCCACATCTCTCAAGTGTCTCTACAGGTCTGGACTTCACCTGTCCTTCCACATCCCCAGTCCAAAGCCCTGAGGCAAGTCTGTCTGCTCCTGGCGTCTCTCCTCCTGTGTGTCCTTCCAGTCTCCTGTCTTCACCTGGCGCTCAGTTCCACCTCTCCTTACCTGGGCAGGGAACCCGGAGCCTCCCCTTTTATGGAGATTGTTGTTACAACTTCCTGGTGTGGAAGGCAGAGACTGCCTTCTAGGTACCCAGGCGAGGTTCAGTCTGAAGTGGAAAGCTGGGAGTGAATTATTCTTAATGCCTTTTTATAGAACTCCCTTAAATCTTGCCGGGGTGGAGTCTTTTTTTTTTTTTCTTAACTGTGGTAACACTATCTATTATAGATTTCAGGTCCACCATTTTTTTTTTAATGCTAATAATGGATCCAGCCACACAAAGTTGCTGGGTGCAGCAAAGCCCCAGTTTTATATCTAAATCACCCCATCTACGAGACTGAAATCAGCCACAAGCCCTGGTACATTGAACCCTTAGTAGGTTTGAACACGAATCCTAAACAACCTTTATCTGAAGTGCGCCCCTCCACCCGAGCTCAGGCCCAGCTGCCCACTCTGCTCTCACAGAAAAGCAGGAGGCCTCCAGTGCCCCGACTCCACAGAGGAGGGTCCAGCCAGCACTTACCGGAGCAGATCTGAGGCCCTGCGTCAGAGTCGAGGAGGCAGAGCTGAAGCCACGCTGTCTGGCGCTGATGGCTCTCTGGAGCCACAACTGAAGGCCAGTTGCACCAAGTCTCCCACCAGGGAGTGGGCGGTCAGGGCCCGGCTGGGTGGGGCTGGGTGTGGTGAAATGCACAGAGGCTGGAGGCACAGATTCTTCATTCTTCATTCTTCTGAGCTTCTGCTCCAGGCAAGGTACTCAGGGCTCTTTCTTGTGCTAAGTCCACTTGCACTTACCTAGACAACTGTTATCACAGACTTTTCACTAACCCCCTTTGTTCTCCTAAAAACCTACTTTTACCATGGGCCTCCCTGGGGGCCCAGAAGATTGGTCTCTGAACTATCTGGCCATCGGCTGCTCCCCTCAGCAGTGGATTTCAGTGGGTCCATCCACCTGTTCTGCTCCCCACTCTGCCTCTGGGGAGTCCTCTCACCACCCCATCTCTGGTCAACACCCTAACTCTTGTAAGCATTAATAAAGAAATCTGTCGTTTTTAATCAACTTTTTTCCTGTAAGAAGACATCTGTCACCCCCGCTGGAGACTCCTCTCTTCCCCCCTTCCCTACCAGGTTATGAGAGCCTCCTGCTTGAACTATTCAGCTCGCTACTTACTGTCCTCAGCTCCTTCGGTCTCCAGTAGTCTGTTGGCTATCTGGCAAGCCCAGTGGCTTAAGATGAAAGAGGAATTTTTTTTTCCTGTTCGACAACGGAAAGATTAAAATACTTCAGAGATGGAAGTATTGGAATGCTACTCAGCGATGAGGAAAGATAAACTCCTGCCCCTTGCAGCAACATGGAAGGGCTGGCAGGGATTGTGCTCAGTAAAATAAGCCAGAAGGAAAAGAAAAATAGGGGATGTTTTCACTTACAGGTGGAATAAGGGGAAACTGAACAAGGGGAAGATAACTTGCGGGCTGACCGCAGATCTGAGGTGTCCAGCAGAGGGAGGAGGGTGTAAGGCCTAGCACAGGGAGGGAAGAGCCCTCGGGGGCGCTCACAGGTGCTGTGGTGGAGGGGGAATGCCCACTCCTGAGGGGAGGAATCATATATCCATAAAGGGCCGCCCTGGGGGCCGGGTTGTCTCAGCACTGTGAAGCTACCCACAGCCACTGCAACAGGAGTTTTATACCCAGTCAGGTAGGTGAACACGGGTGAGACCCTGTCTCACCCGCTGCTCCCCTCAGCAGTGGATTTCAATGGATCCACCTGTTCTGCTCCCCACTGTCTGTGGTGAATCCTCTTTTCCCCAACACCTCTAGCCTGCACCCCAGTTCTCGTGTGCATAAATAAATAAATCTTTAACTATATATATATATATAGTTAAAAATGAACAATGATGTAAGAAAAAGTATTAAACTTATATTAAACTAAAAAGAATCTCCAGAGAGGTATGCCTCTACTAATAAACTATCAGGCCAAATCAAAGTAGTAGCAAGTTCATCCCTTTTTTTAAGAGTTATTTATTTGTGCAGACAGAACTGGGCAACAGGCCCGGGGTGGGGGGAGGGGGTTGGTGAGAGGACTCACCAGAGACAGAGTGGGGAGCAGAACGGCTAGATGAGTGCTGGGGGGAGCAGTGGGGAGACAGGCGAGGTCTGCTGCGCCCTGGGGGTCGCTCCCTGGCTGGGGCTGAACTTGTGCTGCTGTGGCTGCTGACAGCTTCACAGTGCTGCGCTTGAAACAGCTGTGACCAGGGAGGGCCCTGTCTGATGGCGCTAAACAAAGCAGCCTGCTAAGCATAATTCTCTGCTAAACTACTTTCCTCTAGCTTCTTTCTGTAAGATCTCTTTCACCCTGGGCCTCTATCAGCTACTTGTCTAATAGAATCAGGCATCAAATATTTTATACAATGGTTCTCTTTTTTTTTTTTTTTAGAGGGAAGGTTCTACGTTTTGTTTAGCCAAAACATATTAGCCATAGGTGACTGTGTTTGGCATTTTACCTGTAACATCTTGCCCTACCCTGTCAGTGACCAGAAGTTTCCCACCATGGTAATTCATCAGTAAGTGACACTGATGGGGTATGGAAGTATTTCAAAAATCTGTTCTGGATAAGAATAGTTCTCAAATAACAAAAACATCACCATAAGACTCCCATTCACTGAGTAAGGAAAATGAAGTCCTTGGGCGAGGGCTGTGACAGTGTAATGTGGGGAGGAGGGGAATCAAAATTTCACAACTGCTGAATCACTTGGGAGGAAAGTGTCGGTGTTTTCAGCCAGCAAGAGGAACAGTCCCACGCATGGTACCACCAGGTACACAGGTTATTCTCGGGCGGTCACGGGCCACCTGGAGGCACAAAATGCCACGCCACTGAGCTGGGCTACTGGACAACTGTTTTCTTTTCGTGATGTTGTGTTGCCTTGATTTTCTGTGTTCTTAGAATTCTGCATTAGCGCTTTCATATTTGAAGTAGCAGGCACCTCTTTAAGTATTGGCCGGCCCCTTCAGGAGGGGTCTCCTGAGATTCTCCTCTGCCCGTGTATGCTACCCAGGTTCCACTCTTGTCCCTTGTCAAGGTTTCCTGGGAGCCTCTGGTTTCTGTTCCAGAAGGTGGTGCTATTGGTTAAGTCTGTGGCTCCTGGGCCCTCCCTGGTGTCGCGATGGGTTAAAGGGCCACACTGTGAAGCCTTCTGCAGCCAAGGCTACCGGAGGGTTCCCGGGCAGGGAGCGACCCACATGGTGCAGAGCTCCCCAGTGCTCCCCTCAGCAGTGTTTTTCAGTCAGTCTGCCCGTTCTGTCAGTCCCCACTGTCTCTAGTGAACCCTCTCACCCACAACACCTCTGGGCTGTAGCCCGTTCTTGTATGCATAAATAAATCAATCGTGGGTCCTCCGCGGTGGCGCAATGGCTGTCCTGTACCCCAGTTCTGTATGCTAAAATGCATCTTTTTTTAAAAAAATCTTGGAGCCCTCCCTGGTGGTGCAGCGGGTTAAAGCACAGCACTAAGAAGCTAAAGCCACTTCCGCCTGAGTTCGATCCCCGCCTGCCCCGGAGGCGACCACAGGCGGCCACATGGCGTGACAGACCTCTCCTGACCCGCCCGCTGCTCCCCTCAGCAGTGGGTTTCAGTGGATCTGCCTGTTCTGCTCCCCACCCTGTCTCTGGGGAGTCCTCTCACCGCCCCTGCACCTCTGGTCTGTCCCCCAGTTCTGAATGCATAAATAAGTAAATCTTTAAACAAAATCTTAAAAAAAAAAAAAAATTTGGCCTTCCCTGGTGGCACAACGGGTTAGGATGCAGCACTGTGAAGCTACCTGCAGCCACTTCAAAGCGAGCTTGATCCTGGCCGCACCTGAGCTGACCCCCAGGGGGCCGCAGACCTCTCCCGTCTCTCCCACCGCTCCCCTCAGCAGTGTGCTTTGCTCACTGCCTCTTCTGCTCCTTGCCCACAGGCAGGGGCCTCCTGAGCACACCCTTCCTGCCTCCCCCACCAGTGCTCTTTCCACAACGCAAATAGGAGGTGCACACAGGCGCCCACAGCTGAGTTGGGGGTCCGTGGGTTAAGCACCCAGCGGCTGCCCGCACAGGAAGAGCCCAGGTGTTTAGTGCTGGGACTCAAGGGTGGCCTCCCTGCTGAGAACAATCCCGAAGTCCCACCTCCAGCCCAGGCTCAGACTCCCCTAGCCGTGGGTCTGCCAGACCCAACCGCAGAGTGACCTTACTGAGGGACGCCTGAGACCCCCGGGCTAGGCTCACTGGTCTCCCCGTGCGCCTCCGGGCCGTGGCCTCTCCCGTTCTCACATCTTTTTTATTTCCATCTCCAGTTTCCTTTATTCCTCTTGGGAATAAAGCACTGGTCGCTGGGATCCCCAAAGAGCTATCCACTAGACAGCTGTAGCGTTCTGACCCTGCTACACTCTAGCCCCTTCCCCCCGCTGAACACCCCAAGCGTTTCCAGATATTGCCCGATGTCTACGGGGAGCCAAGTCTCCCCTGGTCAAGAGCCTGCAGCCTGTGGCAGTAGGTGGTGCAGACTAATAATAGCCTGTGTTTCAGATTACCTGGATGTATTTAAGAGCAAAGGAACATTAGATTTCAGGATGACAGCGCAAGGTGGATCTCCCCCACCGCCCAGTGGGATGTGGATGGGTAAATGCATCCTACGTGGTATGCAGGGAAGGCCAATCTCATGGAATTTTAGAGCAGAAGTGTGAAAGATAATTCAGAGGAGTAAAGATGCCTGTGGATAGTCGAGGTTGAACCGCTAACTCCAAAATGCATGGGGAATGATTTACAGGTAAAGACTGGATGGGGGATGGTTTACAGGTAAAGCCTGGATGGGGGCTGGTTTACAGGTAAAGACTGGATGAGGGATGGTTTACAAGTAAGTTCAGGATGGGAGAATGGTTTAGAGGTGAAGACAGGATGGAGGGAATTGTTTAGAGGTGAAGACAGGTAGGGAATGTTTTACAGGTAAAGACGGAATGGTTTACAGGTGAAGACAGGTAGGGAATGGTTTATAGGTAAAGACAGGTAGGGAATGGTTTACAGGTAAAGACAGGTAGGGAATGGTTTACAGGTAAAGACAGGTAGGGAATGGTTTACAGGTAAAGACAGGTAGGGGATTAAGTCAGATTGTCAAAATTTTAAAGCTCTGATAAGATTAGACTTATAACTCCTCAGGTCAGTTATAAGTCTCAGGAGTGACCCTTATCGCACACCTTCTCCAGACTCCAGGGTCAGTTCCTGGACACACCAGCTTATTCCTGCTGAAGGTGGACACTGAGCTTGCAGGTTCCATCTGTGAGCTGGCGTCACCTGAGAGTCTGCAAGCCTTGCATTCAGTCCCTCCCAGAGATTTGGATCGACTGGGCATGCCTTAAAACTCCCCTAAGGGCGAAACATACAGCTGGTGGAGACCACCAGAAATTCAAAACCTCTGTGGTGTTTTCTTTTTCCATAAAACAGGAGACATCATCCTGCAGGTTCACTTTTACTAAGCCAGGCAGGCATTTCTGAGCCTATCTGTTTATTTGAAGAGTTTATTCATTTATTTTTGCGTAGAAGAACTAGGGTACAGGCTAGAGGTGCTGGGGGTGAGAGGATTCACCAGACAGAGTGGGGAGCAGAATGGGCGGGTCTACCGAAACCCACTGCTGAGGGGAGCTGTAGGGAAGCAGCGAAGTCTGGGACAGGTAGGGAATGGTCTACAGGTAAACCATATACCAAGATCCCTGGGGGCCAGGGATCGGACTCATGGGGCAGTGGCTGTGACAGCGTCTGTGCCACCAGGAAGGCCCTTATCTAAGCTTATTTAATGTGAGAGTGAGGTCCTCTGCGCCTCCCATTCCACAGGGAATGAATTCCTGCACCAGCCACATCCCTGAGATACCTGGTGAAGGTCAGAGAAAAGACTTGGCCCTACGGGGCACCTGACCACCAGAGCTGCTTCTAACCCTGGCAAAGAGGGCACCGTGCCCCCACTGACCAGAACTACTTGTTCCAGCACATGTCCACCCAGGGCGAGGTCAGTGGTTTGTCATCCACAGGAAACTCACCTCCACCTCCCAGGACTGAGACCCCACCACCACCACAGGGGCAAGCCTGAGCTGCCCGTGCTGCGAGCCTGTCAGCTTCTGGCCGCTCGGGAAGGCTGGCTCCGCCCCTCGGGTGCTTGTGTTGGTGATGAGTGTGAACTGAAGTGCGATGAGGCGGTGGATTGTTACTTGGAGGGTCCAAACACCTCCACGGAACTATTCTTTGCCTGGCCCTCAGGCCCCTGCTAGGCAGGCCCCGGGGGGTGAGGCCAGGATCTAGCTGATGACGCTGATGTGATTATTTTCTCATTGTGGATTAACGTTTACTACTATGCAAATTTAAGATACACCATGTGTTGATTAAAAAATTATTCTTTCATTAAAAAAATGTGTGTGGGTTTGCTACACCTCTCCATGACAATGTGTTTGCCACCATCGCAAATGCCTCCATCCCATCAGGGATCATCTTCTTGTGTGGTGAGACTATGTAACGCCCCCTCAGCAACTTCCAGGCCCATAGAACAGGATTCTGGCGTGATGTCCACAGCCTGGAGCCAGTGTGGTGGCCAGTCTGCGCCAGGCCAGCCCGCGCACTGGCTCTCCTTCCAGTCGTAGAGTGCGCTGACCATCAATATCATAGAGTGCGTTGATCATCAACGTGGGATAAACCAGGAAACAGGAGTGATCCGAGCTGGGGAGGACCTGACCTAAGGTTCCGATTGATGGGATAGGGCCTGGGTGGGGTTGTTGCAGCTGTATTTAAGTCCTGATGCACTTTTTTCTAGCCCCTCTTACAGCAACTGAGCATGGAGACACAGCTGGATCACAGGATGGCAGCCCCAGGGCAGCCTCCCGGAGGTAAGCAGGAGGGATGAGGAGCTGAGGCTTCTTAGAAGCTGCCCTCCGAGGGTAGCCCCAATCCGAGGAAAGTCCAGGTCTCCGCCTTGGCTTGGCTTGTTCGTCTGCTCCCACCTCCCCCAGAAGCCCCCGGGGCTGGGGTGTTCACTATGGGACACAGATTTTGTTCTTCTTTGGAGATGTTTGACTGACTTGCTTTCCTGTTCGACAAGGGTGTCTTTGGCCAATTGTCTGTTAGTAGGTCTGAGCCCAGAGCTGGGGCAGCTGGCCCGGAGGCCCCTCCTACCAGAGCCTTCTTGGGCTAATGATACAATTAACGCGGACCCTCACTCCTGGCAGCTGGGGGCTTCTCACTGATGTCAGGCTTCCTGTTCTCACTGACCTTGCCCCGGGAGGATTCAGATGGGAACGCATCGAGCATGGAGCTGAGGTCAATGAAAGGGTCACTGACAGTCACAGTGTCTACTTTGCCAGAGTGAAAAGCAGTCCCAGTGACCAGGCGCCCCGTCCAGACACCTCCGTCCACTCGCCCTCCACAGTGGTGTCTCCAGGCTGGGCTGGCCGAGCCTCTGGCTGACCGTCCCCTTGGCGGGTGCCGTCCATACTGTAGGCTTGTGACAGCAAACCTGTTGTGGGTGGTTCTTGGCTGTCTTCCTGAGGAATCCCCGCACTGGGTTCAGTCCAGGTGGAAAGGATGAGGAGGGTGAGGAGGGTGACCTCCAGAGCAGTTCACCTGGAGTGGAGCTGCCTGCCTTCCACACACAGCACACAGCCACAAGGGCCCGTGTAAACACCTCTCCTGCGGGGCCAGAAGAAGCAGCAAGTATGGCAGAATCAGGCCTAGGAGGATGAGCAGAGAAGTCGGCCCGGCCCGCCCCCCCATCGCCCCACAGAGCACCAGTCTCTCAGTCTCTGCGGTTCTCGGTCACTTGATGTCCAGAGAGGGCAGGGACGGAGTCATCTCAGCACCTCAGCAGGCCTTTCTCCCCTCTCCTTCCCAGGAAAGCACCTTAAGTGTCCACAGAGGAAGCGAACTGTATTCACCGAGAAACAACTGACAGATCTGAAGCTCCTGTTCAAGGAGAACCCATACCCCAGCCTTAACGTCCAGAGAGAAATGGCCTCCAAAATGGAGATACACCCCACAGTACTGCAGGTCAGTGACACCCCCAAGCCACCTCCCTGGGGTGCCCGAAAGTCAGAGACCCTCTAGAGTGATTCCTAAAGCCTGATGCTCCTCCAGTCCAAGACTACAAACACCCAGAGGCCCACCCAGCCTCCCCTGGAAGCCCTAGGCAAGGGTGGGCAAACCCTTGCTGTCCAGGACGGACAGTCTTAGTCTTCGTGGGCCTTGCAGTCAGGGAGAGGCAGCCTGAAGCAGTGTGTCAACAGTGGGCCTGTCTTGGCCTTCACACTGGAAGCTCGTGTAATTCTCATGTGTCACAAATAACTATTCTCACTGTTTTGTTTTGCCCAGGGGATTATATTTTAGGACATGCAATGATTTTAAGTAAATCAGATTGGAAAACAAAACACATCTACTTTTTTCTTCTTTGACCCCCAACACAGTTCCTCACACCCCTTTCTCTCGTTCCTCCTCCCATTCCACCCTCAACCTGAGTTTTCATGATATTGATTAATGTCATTACTTTTTTATTGGGGTTGTTTTTTTTTCGTGTGTGTGTGTGTGTGTGTGTGTGTGTAGTAGTAGAACTGGGGTCCAGGCCAGAGGTGTGGTAGGTGAGAGGATTCCCCAGAGACAGAGTGGGGAGCAGGACAGGCGGATTGAGAAGCACACTGCTGAGGGGAGCAGCGGGCAGGAGAGGTCTGCTGCGCCCTGGGGGTCGCTCCCTGGCTGGGGAGCACAGTCAGGCTGTAGAGGTGAGAGCAGAGACTGAACCCCTAGGCACCAGGGAGGCCCCACTCCTTTTTGTAAGTGATTTACTTTATCGCATGGTCTGGCCTGCAAATGTCTCAGCTCCCTCTGTCCCCTGACATCTCTTTCCTGTGGCTGTGGCCTCCCTGCCCGAGACCCCTGGGCCGGCCCTCCGTGGGGGCCTGCAGGCTGCCTCCGTGGACTAGCTGAAAAGCGTTGCTCTGTCCCGCGCCACGCAGACTGCGGTGAGTGAGACGTGGCGGCACGGCCCTGTGCCCTGCGGTGCCTGGGCGGGGCGGACTCTGCTCTGCCTCCTGCCGTGCGGTGCTCTGCTCAGAGTCACTCCCAGCCCCTCATCTCTGCTCCTCCCTGAGCACCGCTGGGAGCCGACGACACAGGATGCAGCGGCAGGAGGCAGAGCCGTCACCCAGAAGCACCCATGTTCCTGGGTCAGGCGAACACGGGGGTCACGCTTAACCGTCAACCCCACGTTGCTCTCTTCCCTCCTCAGGTGTGGTTCAAGAACTACAGAGCCCGAGTGAAGAAAGCCAGAAGCGGGCACCGTCGGCCGACTCAGCCAGAAGCAGCTGAAGCGCCGCGACTCGAGGGGGGTCTCGGGGCCCCCCCTCCTGGGAGCAGCGTGCAAACACCTCCCAGGCAGCCCCGGGGTGCTGGCCCCACCTCCCTAGTCTACACCCACCTCCTGGGGCCTTCATTCCAGCTCCGCCTATGCCCCCCTCAGAAGAGCCACACGGACCACGCCACCGGCCACAGAGTGGTCCACTTCGGCTGCTGCCAGGACCCCAACATTTACTGCCTTGCTCCCATTTTGGATCCCCAAGAGCCCCTCACCAGCTCCCCGGCTTACTCTCTGGGCTCTCTGTCACCGCCCTGACCTGGGGGCTGCCTCGGACCCCGCCAGGGCAGCACGTGACGGGGACAGTCTCCACAGTGGAACAAGCCCTGCTGTGGGCAGCGTACACTCAGGCAGGGCCACCGCGCCAGGCACTGAAGCTCGTCTGGCAAAACGACGCTAAGCGATGCAGGTTTGAAAGCCGCCTACGTCCACGTCAAAGAACGTCACGCTGCGTCAAAGGGAGGTGACCCGAGAGACACATACTGCCTCACCCCACTGACACGAGACCTGGGAGCCAGAAAAGCTCATTCGCCCCTTGTTGGCAAAAGCAGACCGAAGTGACAGGAAGGACCTTTCTCCAGGGGAGAGCAGCAGGGAGCACTTGGGATGGGAGAGCAACATTAAAGTGCAAATCTGGTCAGCGGCCTCCTGTCTCTGCCCCAGCACGGCCCGGCCCCACCGCCTTGGTGTAAGCTCAAGGCTGCAGGCGGCTCCTGTCTCCTGCCCTTCCACACACTCCATCTCCTGGACGCTCCGCTCCCCCTTCCTGCAAAGAACTCGGGCCTCCCTGGGGCAGCCAGGGGCACCCTCGGCCCCCTCAATCCCTGGGCTCGGGTGTCCGTCCTAACCACGACGCTGCAATAAACACTGTCAGACACAGGCTTGTTTGAGTCCAGGCTTCCCACTCTTTGTGAAGGTGCTGGAGTGCTGGAGAGAGCTGGGTCAGACGGAGCTTCCACCTCGGGGTTCTCAGCGTGCCCCCATCTCTTCAGGGAAGGGCTGCCTGGACTCGCTTTTCCGCCCACGCTGTAGTGGGGCGCGCTTTCTCCACTTCTCTCCAGCACCTGCCACTGGGGACTTTTCCACGCGCCATTCCCACAGGTGAAGTGCCTCCCTGTAGTTCTGGCCTGTATCTGCCTTATTAAAAGCAACATGTCTGGTCCTCCCTGGTGGCGCAGCGGGTTAAAGCACAGCACTGAGAAGCTAAAGCCACTTCAGCATGAGTTCGATTCCTGCCTGCCCCGTAGGTGACCCCATGGCGTGGCAGACCTCTCCTGACCCGCCCGCTGCTCCCCTCAGCAGTGGACTTCGTCGATCTGCCTGTTCTGCTCCCCACTCTGTCTCTGGTGAAGCCTCTCACCGCCCCTGAGCCTCTGGCCTGTACCCCAGTTCTGTATGAACAAATAAATAAATCTTTAAAAAAAAGCAACGTGTCTGTTGCCCACCTGTCAGGGAGCACAGAATCGTTTCCCTCCCTGCCTGAGTTCTGTATAAATCCATCAACAGGCCCAGAGAACTTTGAAACCAATGGCCTCCTGGCCCTGTTCTCCCAGCTCTTGGGGGCCTGGTGAGAAACACATGCCAGCCCATACCGATGAACGGGAAGGGGGGGTCTCGTGGCTAGCGATTTGCAGTCCACGTTCTGCCCCCAGGCACCCCCACCAATGAGCGCAAGCTCCCACTTCCCCCATGGGAAGCTGCAACAGATTTTTTTTTAATGTTGATTTTGTAACTGCCATTCTGGGGTTTTCATTTATTGTTTTAATGGCTGTTGGCTGGATCTTTAGGATTCTCTATATTTACTATCACACCACCGGCAAAAAGGTTCTTTTTTACTTCTGTTCCAGCCTGGATGGCACTTGTGCATGTTTGTAGGCTTGTGGGGTGCAGTTCCCACGAGAGGCCTGGAACCTCCCTGGGGAGTCTGGCTCACCTAGCGGGACTGGAAGTAAGTATGCCCACCTGGCCCCAGGGCCCAGAGCGCTGCCTTGAGGAGGGGGATTGGCTCCCCTGCTGGCTGCTGGATGAGGACTTCCTCATGCCTTAGATAAGAGCTCTGACTTCCTTCCCTCAGCGCTGACTCCTCCCCGCTCACCTAATAGCCCAGTATTGCTCAAACCTGCTGGCCAGATTAAGAAAGGCCTGGCGAGCTTCTAGCACCCAAGTTCCAGGAGTGGAGGGGGTGCGCGGTACCCAGAAGTGAGTTTGATTTTACCCTCAGTGTCAAAGCGCAAGAGACACAACCAAAATCTAGTCATCCAGAGATAAACCTTGCTGGGAAAAGGTGAAAAGGAGAAATTCCCGGAAGAAGTTTCCAGGGTGAGCGGAGAGGGGGTGGTTAGGACGGGGAAGAAACTGAGGACTGAGGCCCACCAGGATGGGGGTTCAGTGCCAGAGGCAGTTTTGGAGACCCCAAAGCTGTGCTTGCATCCTGCCTCCTTCCCTAGACAGCTGTGGCCTTAAGTCACAGGTTTTGATTGGCCTGATCAACATAAGCATCTAAGAAAAGAGAAATGGGTCTGGGAAGGAATCCGTCACTCTCGAGATGTCAATCTCTGCCTCGGTATCGGATTCTGAAGCTGGGGAGAGTCGTCCCGGGGTGAGTGTGTGTGTGAGTGTGAGTGTGAGTGTGTGTGTGTGTGAGATACAGTGGCTGAAGGCTGGTAGAGGCCTGCTCCCTCCCTGTTCTCATATGCATAAAGAAATAAATCTTTAATCCACCAGTGACCCTGACCTAGGGGTTTGAAAAAGGAAGAAGTGATTGTTTAGTATCAGAAGTGTCTGAGTTGTTCTTGAGAAGTGGGGTGTTGTTTAGTTACCAGAATAGGACGTTGGATTTAACTCTTGTTAAATCCCTCTCTGGTTAGACTGGTTTGATCATAGGCCTCTTCATTAAAGCCAGTGTCTAAGAAACCCCTGGCTATGCTGAGTGAGGACTTCTTAGCCTTCCACTGCAGTTGTGGGCAAACTGAGACTGGGTCAATCGGGAGACGATAAGCCTTTTTCTGGGAGTCCAGAAAAGAACAGAGGCTGAGGGGCATGCAATTTAACCGCTCTGTGCATTCTGTTAGTGTCTGGCCTAGGTCTGAGTCTCGGATACCAGTAAAACAGAAGACAGATGACGACTTTAACAAGCTTCCTGAGGCTCCCCCTACCTTCTTCCCTCCCTAGAACATCCGAGGGCACAGGGCCAGGCAAGAACTACGTTTTACCCAAGACCAACTAAGGGAGCTACGTTTCCTTCAGTAAGGCTCGATATTTAACAACAGCTCAGCTTAAGGAATGTCTTTAAATTTTCCTGGCTTTAGGGACCTCCCTGGTGTTACAACGGGTTAAAGCATGAAGCTCACCGCAGCCGCTTCCCTGAGAGTTTGATCCCCAGTCACAGAGGTGACCCACAGGGCACGTCAGACCTCTCCTGCTGTTCCCCTCAGCGGTGTGGTTCAGCTGATGCGCCTGTTCCATCCCCTGCTCTGCCTCCCTGGTGAATCCTCTCACCACTCCTGCACCTCTGGCCTGTACCCCAGTTCTATATACATAAATACCTCAGTCTTTAAAAAAAAATTTTTCCTGGCTTTATAGAGGCCTAGTAGATAAAAACCGCATATATCTAAGGTTTACAACAAGATCATTTCTTATGTGTATGCAATGAAATTAACATCCCCATCCACTCCCATAGCTACCTGGGTGTGTTTATAAGACTATTTTTATGAACACAAGAACTGGGGTGTAGGCTAGAGGTGCAGGGAATGAGAGGACTCACCAGAGACAGCGGGGAGCAGAATAAGCTGACTGACAAAATCCACTGCTGAGGGGAGCAGTGGAGAGACAGGAGGGATCTGCGGCCTTCTGGGGGTCAGTCCCTGGCTGGGGATGGACCTCGTGCTGCAGCAGCTGCCATAGCTTCATAGTACTGAGATTCAACCCCTGCACCACCAGGGAGGACCCATCTTTTTGAGTGTGTTTTGTGCAAAGAACGCTTATATCTACTTTTTGCTAACTGCAACTACCCAATTCAGCGTTACTAACTATAATCGCCATGATGAACATACGATCCCCAGAACTTGCTCATAAGCTGAAAGGTTCTACCCACAACTGCCCACTCCCCACCCCCAGCCCAGGGGGAGACCATTCTAGCCTCTGCTTCTGAGAGTCTGAGAAGATTCCGCAGTGTCTGTGGAAAAGAGATCCAGCCGTATTTGTGCTGCTGTCTGGTTTACGCCGCACTTAGCATAATCCCCTCTTGGTTCACCCACCTTGTTGCATAAGACAGGATTTCCTGCTTTCTCAAGGCTGGATAGAATTTAAAGAACTGTCTTAAAACTCACCCTGCTTAATCATGTAGTTAGGGCGTGGGGAGGTGGTTTTACCCAGATTTTTATTCTCAGTCACATTTCCAACATCGCAACCCACAGGTTTTCTGGGGCAGCCACCTTCCACTAATCTCTGTCAGACCCAGACCCAAGCAGCTGCCCTAACCAAAGAGCTGCTGTGGGAAAGACAGAGCTGGCATTCTGCACTTCCTAACATGTCCCCAGTGTGCCCCTGGGCCCTGATGGCCTCCCAGCTCCCAACCGCCCCCCACCTGCTCCCTCCACCCCACCTTCCTCCTAGAACTTAAGTACCAAGAGTTAGAAACTGGTCTCCTCCCCTGCTAGCACAGAGGTTCAGTCCCAGCACCACGAAGCTGTCCACAGCCAGCGCGGCATGAGTTCCCGCCCTGGCCAGGGAGTGACCACAGGGTGCTGTGGGTTTCAGTGGATCCGTCTGTGCTGCTCCCCACTGTCTCTGGGGGCTGCTCTCCCCCCTGCGCCTCTGGCCTGCACCCCAGTTCTGTGTGCATAAATAAATCTTTAAAAGAAAAAAACTAGTCTTCTAACTCACCTGAGTAAGAAGGGGCAAACTGTTTTTGGAGCAGTTTCTGTCCTGAGGGCGTCTTCTGACCCTCGGTCACTTCTGCCCTTTTCCCAGGTTTGGTCTAAGAAGAGAAGAGGAGAGCACGAGCTGTTACCAGGCCAAATTCCGAGGAGTGAGCCAGCGCCGCCATGTGGCCCAGCTCCGGCTGAGTCTGCCCAGCAAGTCCAAGGTGTGCCCGCCAGCCTGTGGACCCCGCTGGCCCTCTCTCTCGTCCCCAGCATGTCTTGTCCCTGGTCCCCCTGAGACTCAAGACCTCGCTCCTGTCTCCACCATCCAGCTCCGAGGTTCCAGTCTGCCCCTCCCACCACCCCAGGCCCCAACCGCCTCTCCAGTATCTCCAC